AAGACTGTAAAAGATCAGGTGTTATTTTGTGACGTGTCTCCAAATGCTCTACAGACATTCGCTATTTTCCTAGATCATGTAAGTTTTTTATCTGCTTTTTAATTTGCAAGGTGCTGTTTCCCTTTCTTTCAAATCCTGTGAATCATTCAACCTGGCCTACCGTTGTATCACACGACGTTATGAAATACGCTCATTCGCTCAAGCGTCATACCGAGGTTTTAATTGGACATGTAAACGGAAAAACAGTTCTTCCCATACCAAATGAAAACGATGAATATTTCTTTTCTCGGACAAAAAAGTGGCTTTATGCAGTTAATTTTTATAAATTTTAGTAAATCAGAACGTTCTTGTCTCTATGCTATTGAAACATTGATTATCGAGTGGTCACATCAGGTCTACAAGCTCTTGTTGGAAGACAAGTCCAAGGCTTCTGCTGACACCGAGGCTTTACCAGTGACTGAAGTTGAATACTGGAACCTTCGAGCCTCTGATCTAGACGGAATAAACCTACAAATTTCGTCCAAAAATGTTCAGAAAATGATACAATTACTTGAAACTCATAATAGTTGTTACCTCACACCATTCAAGGACATGTATAAGGCGATTGTATATGGTAAGTATGTTTTTAACATCACAACTTGTTAACCCACCAACGCTACTATTGATCACCCATTAAAAAGCAGAACTGTATTTCGTTGTCTCTACAGCAACAGAAGCAGGTCACTTTAACGCAAGCATATCATCCTGCAAATTTTATATTTATGCTGTAGAATGCGTAAATCAACGCTGTAAAATCGATTACGATATGTAGTAAATACTTCGAAAGTGAACAAGAGAGGACATTCAGTCTGTGCTGAGGTGCGTGGAACTCAGTGTGTTTAATTATGAATCGCGAGTGTATAATTGAATCCTAATTCATCAACACGTTATTTATCAAGCAAAATCCAGACAGTTCAGTTAGCAACAAGGTCAGTTTACAAGCATGCCTATAACTTTGACCATAGTCCCACACATTTATAAAATATCAATTTGTCACTACTCCCTCCCTGTGTTACGTACTACAATTATGCTATTAAGAAGAAGTCGACTCGATCGCTGGGGCAACACTTTTATTCGCCTGACGTTTCGAGATCCGTCGCGGATTCATTATACTATTTCTAAATAGGCATTTATGAATAGTATGCGAAGATATCACCGAAGCTGATTGAATTTGGCTAACAAATGCTTAGTGAATTTCTTTGTTAACTAGAACATGTTAGGTGTAAGCCTATTGCTTCGCGTTGCTGCATTGCTTTCTGACACATATTACAACGAATATGAGTATACTCGACAATTTCTTTGTTTGCTAGGTTCTGTGTGGGTTTCGGTATAGTGCTTACTTTATTTTTTTGTTTTTAAACCGCATAGCTCTAATGGAAGCCAATAACATGACACTGTTTCTGAAGCCACTTAGACCAGTCCTCGAAGATATGGAAGGCACCGAATTCGAAAAACTGTCTGTACAGTTTGGCAGATTGTTTCATCTTATTTGTCTTTCCTGGGTTAATTCAGAGTACTTTCGTATCCCAGGGCGTCTGGTCACATTTCTTCGGAAAGTATCAAATTTGGTAATTATTCAGGTAAGCCACAATTGACACCTTTATTAGAAATGTCCGTAATAAGTCTATTAAAAAAATCTTTATATGAAAGTTATCCCGATAAAACGGACTTGAAAAATACAACCATTTTTGTATAGAAATCTCTAAGTCTCATTTTTAATCAATGGATCACATCTATCTATTCACCTAGTTGAGACTTTAGTTATGCGTAACACATTTCCTCCAACAGCCCATCAATGAGTGAAGGCTGATGTATATTGCATCTCAGATGAAATTTTCCAAGTAGAAATAGATGCAGCATAGTTATATAAAACTTTTGACAACTCATTTTAGCTGCGGAACTACCTTGACCCAACCGAAGTCTTGAAGGGTGAACTGGAAGACGTTCACACTCGCATTACAATGGGCATAAAAATGCTCTCTTCGTTTAAAAAATACTTCGAATTATATCGCAAAAAATTACCAGAATATTTTTCCAAATTGGAGAACCCCCAAGAGCCAATACACTGGGAATTCTCTGAAACGCTTGTCTTTGGAAAAGTTGACAAGTACCGGAAGCGTCTTGACTCCATTAAGGTAAGTTATTTTGGAAAGGTTTTAGGTAGGCATAAAAATATTTTGCAAGGGTTACTTAGAGACTGCTAATTTGGATGAGTTTTGTCATCGAGTTTGTTTTTGTATGAAATACGCTAAACCGGTTAACATTCTCGATATATTTAGATCAAAATGTTTATCCATAAAACAAAAACGACCGTGAATATTTTATTTGTAAGCTTATGCTCGGGTTCTAATTCATAATTTACTTATCCCTAAAATTATTTTGTTTAAGCAGTTTTGCATGCTTTGCGAGACTGTGTAAAAGTGAAACATTGACGAGCTTTTTATATATAATGATTGCCATTTTTGTTAAAATGTCACTATTTCTGTGGTATTATTTTAGCTTCTGCTTGAAAACGCAATGGAATTTGAAAAACTGGATCGTGTTGTTATTGGAGGCATTCTGGGCGAGACACTATCCACCGAGGTTCAGGAAATATTTGAAGAATTCGGAGTGGTTTTTAAGGTACGTTAATCCGTCTTTAAACATTGGTGGTATCTTGCAACACATTTTGCGTTCACTCAGACCTAATAGTTTTTGCATATTTTTCGTGAAATGGTTATTCCTTCCCAGGATAGGAAAGAAGAGTAGTTAATTCTACGGGCGATACGCTCGTTTACACGTAAGAAGTCCGCAACGAGCTTGTGTCTCGTACGAAAATTTGCTTAGAGGCGTTACGTTGCCATAATTCATAATATTGCCAACTTCTATTTTTGCACTTTGTTTTTGTAAATTGTGGCGACTTCGTAAACTGCAATGGCATAAGCTTTTTGATTTCAGGTATTTTCCCAACGCAACTACGATTGCCTAGATCCAGATTCAGAGGAGTTTCTGAACGACTACCATAGCATTTCAGTACGCATGGACGAGTACGATCAACGCCTTGGTAGCATATTTTGTCGTGCTTTGGCCGAATGCCCCACCCCTTGGCATGCATACAAGGTTAGTTTCAACCGGTTAGCATGATTATTATCACACCTGCGGCTGGCATGCGTGACTTTAAACGCTTGGTGTCAGAATATTTAGAGTTTTTGGTTGAATGTCGCACACGTATTGCTCTAAATGCTAGGTAACTGATTCGGCTACTGATATTCGGATACTTCAATCTTTTTACCACTGTGTACACCCCAAGTGTTAAGACATAGGCACAATTTAGTATACTTCTTCTGAGTCTTGTGAGGTAACCTATGCAAATAGTGTTTTCTTCTCGGAGAACAGATAGCCAATTTAGCTTTGCAAAACGCTAAAAGGTAAATACGTGTCTCTTCGCGAACGCGGCCTTCCCTTGTGAAATGTTTCATAGGACTCACAACTTCAGTCTTCAGCCTCCCCGTAGTATCTGGTTGCTGTACGAGATTAAAAGCTCTGCACCCATTGTCCCATTCATCTTGATCGCTTTAACGCCTTTTGCTACAAGAACGTGGGACTCGCATATTTGCTTGCATTTTAGTCCTCTTGTTCAACTGCTAACGCTTTGGTTAATTGATCTGGCTGTCTAACTTTGTCCTTCTGTAAAAAAAACAAATCATTGGTTTTTTTCTATGCCTTGGCCCTTGCTGTAATATCAGATGCAGCTATCTCTATTGGAATAAGGGAGCTACTGGAGGGCATTTTAGGGGCGATGCAGATTTTGGCTCAACATGTTTGTTACTTGTACTCTTTTGTTAAACGGAAGTTATGTGTTTTGTTAAAGGCCAATAGTTCTGAAACCCTAATTTAACAAAGACGTGTTTCAATAATAGCTCGCGACCTCTGAGGAGCGCACTCGATCGTGAACATTTATAAAAGCTAGGTAATTTCGAAGAAACACGTCAGTAAGGGGCCGTATTACATGAATTTATGTGCTGCTTAGTCAAAGCTCGCAACCTTACTTCGTTGCAGCATAACGTCACTCTGCTGTAACGCGGTGTGTACATGAGGGAGGGAATTTCCATGCATAATATGTACTTGATTCCGTATAATGTTATATAAACGGTAAGGTCACATATATTTTCTCAATTTTCGGTGATCAGAGACGTAAACCATGCGTCTGCCATTTTGTTAAGTCGTGTTCAGGATTATAGTAACATCTCAGTCTTTTTCAACATCTCGTTTGCAGTTTTGTAATTAGGAAACTACGGGGAGGATATTTTTGGTTCATAAGCCTTTGTCAGCCAGTCGTACTCAACCCTGTGTCTAGGGAGGTGGGGCACCTGGGGCTCAAACCCATGCCTTTTAGAGTTTTACCTCTAAGCTCTAAAAATCGAGCCGTGGGTTCATTTTCCTGTCGTTGGTATCCCTCTGCTAATTAGTACTGGCCACTGTTTGACTGCCTACGGCGTTCTAGATTGAGTTGAGTAGAAGCACAACGGAATGAGTTTGACTTCTAACCTGCGCAGTGCAACATCTTTCTACACTGAAAGGCATTTATGTATAATTGACCGCAAGCACGTACACCGCAGACTGTTTTTGCTTACTGAATCACGTATTCTCTGTTTACTCATTGCGTCCCATTCGTTTAAGCTTCTTCTTTTTGTTTAGCTCCTCACCATCCTGAGCTCGCTGGCCAATAGGAAGCAGATTAAGGAACAACTGGAACCGTGCTACACAAAGATTTTGCAAGACCTTAATACCGAAGTGTCTGCTGTTCGGAAGATTGTAACGGCTCATGAAGAGCTAGCCGCAAAATGGAAAAAGGCCTCTGATGTTAACACTGGTAACTGCTCCGCCCTCGGTTTGCACTTTTCTTCATTTTCCTGTTTGTTTTCCATTCCTCCATCAGAGGACACCCGCGTTACAGACAACTGGCTTCCGTAACTACTCCTCAAACGCGCTTCACTGGCTTAAACCCGCCTAACTTCGGATTTTGTTTCGAGCAGACTGTGAACTGCGGATGGGTAGGCAATTTCCTACTCACCAATAGAATTGAAAGGGCGAGCATCAGGCAGCGGCTTAGAAAAAGAAGATGCAAACGAGAAGTTTACTGCTCTGATGTTTCGGACTTACATTCGAACCCATCATCAGACGCAGTTGCAGAGGGTGTGTGCTGAAAGCGCAACGAGTGCAGTACCTATAGGACACCGCCGTCAGGCCACCACATGCCTACCAATACTGAGCGTTGCTTCTGTTTATCCCTGAGATGATAGTTGATGCGATGGCTGCTTGTCGGTTGGTACTTAAGT